TGGATGGATGGATGGATGGATGGATGGATGGATGGATGGATGGATGGATGGGTAGATGATGGATGGATGGATGAAGACCACTGTATACAGACAGGTGCAACAAAAAAGACTTTACTAAGGACCAAAAAATAAAATAACTGTTTTCTTACATTCTTCTACTTTTAATCAAGTTAAAATCCCCTTTGGTCTCAGAATAAATAAATAAACAAAATACAACTACACTCAAGCTACAGTTATTAGTACCCCAGGTAAAATCTTTAAACAGATTCAACTTGCTGCAGAAAAAAATACCGCCTTAAATCATTGCATTTAAAGAGATTTTTGTTTCAGTGTTTGTATGTGTGTGGGAGGGGGGTTCTAACTTTAAAAAGTTTTTTTTCTATTTTGAAAGTCACCAGTGGCACAATTAACATACTATTCTGTGTAGTCAAATTTTTCTACCATATTCTATTAATTATGCAACACTTACTTATATTTTTGCATGATTCAACAGAGAGAGAGATATATCTAACTATCTTTGCAAAACATCTTAAGGTAAACACTGCTGATCAAAATTTTAAGAGCAATAAAAAACTGCAATGAATTTGCAATTTTCACTGATGGATCTTAAGAAGGTCCATAGTAGAGCTTCAAGCTAACAAAAGAAGAAATTAGAACAACAAGAGACCAAAGGTTATGAGCAGGTGCTTTGTAGAAAAAAAAGCAGATTAATCAAATAGGCTGTTCATCAGCTGACCAAAACTATAACACCACAGATAAAAAAAAACAACCCAAAAAACAAACAAACACGAAAAACCTCCCAAAACATAAATTAAAGTGTCAATAACTGACTCAGTAATGAGCAGCTCAACCATTGTTATTGATCACTCCATAAAAATAATTTTAGCATGCTCGACATGTTTCCGAAAGTCTAATAGGAATGTGGCTCTAGGTGGTGAAAATGGCTTCTCTGATGGCAACCACTGTATGGAACTGATGTCTGTTTGTGTAAACCTCTCTTGCCATCCATCCCAAATGTTGGATTGAGGTCAGAAAAAAAACACAGGATGGTCCAAAAAGGGTGTTATTCTCCTGGAACATAGTCTTCTTCAGATGGTCATTGTGAATTGTAATGTGGTCTTGCTGAAATACCCAATCATTAAAACACAAAAGATGATCAGGAATGATGTTCACCAACACATCTCAGCATAGATAGCTGCTGTTTGACACCCCTTAACTACCTGGAGCTTAATTGAAGGGAAAGCACGCCAGATCATGATGCCTTCCCTCCTCTATACCAAGTTCAAAACATGTTTGTACTGTACTTGTAAAGCCAGTTATGTTGGAGGCTGTCAAGGCCAACAAGGTAAAAGTTTTTCTCATCACAGAATAAAACGTTCTTTCACCTTTGAATGTCCCATGTTTGGTTCTACCTTGCAAAGTCCAAACAGATAATTTTGTGATGTTGAAGGAGACTTTGCATTTCAAGATGTTTCTTGCTTTTGCATCTTCCTTGAAAGATGCAATTCAGTGGTTATTGGGCTGCAGTCATCATCAGTAACCGCCTTAAAGGAAACTTCCGGTCATATTCAGAATTCAAAATTCTGAAAGTACTTTAAATATGAAATTATTACATACTTTTCAATAAATGATAAGCGTTGTTAGGTAGTAGTTTTATTTGAATGTGCTTTACCGGAGACATCCATGTTTGTCAAAGAACACTACTGCCACCTATCGGTTTGTGACGTCACGGTGCGGTATCGGCTGTTGATCAAGTCCCAGTG